AACCAATGTTTCTTTAAATGTCAGAAATCTGTCAGAATGAAAGTAAATTGGGGGCCAGGTTACCTGAGGGACCACCTCTCCTCCACGATTTCAACCTGTCCCCCCCGATCTCACAAAGAGGGTTTGCTCTGAACCCCCTCGGCAAAAGAACTCCAACTAGCAGGGTCCAGAAGGTGGGCCTTCTCTGCTGTAGCCCCCGCCCTTTGGAACATCTTGCCCCCGGAGGTGAGACAGGCCCGCTCACTCCCGGCCTTTCGGAGGGACTTGAAGACCTGGCTCTGTCATCTGGCCTGAAGTGGGGAGGGAGGTCATCAGATATGGGGTTGGCTAGCCCCGTAGAGGCCTGGTGTTGCTTCCATCGGCCTCCTGGATTTTTCCTCTTCCTTTTATTCTGTGTAAATCTGTTTTCTTATAAATTTTAACTGTATATTTGTTTATTGTTTTAATCTGTTGTAAGCTGCCCAGAGTCCCCCATTGGGGGGATATGGGTGGGGATAAGTTTGATAAATAAATAAAATAAATAAATAAATAGTATGCCACTGAATTTCTGGCCAAGTATAATCTCCTACAGCAGCTGATCATCTCAGGCTTTCGCCTTAGGTTCTGTTTGCATTAATGGTGTGCATTTCATTTCATCCAGTAGTGCTGGTTCTGCTGTCTCAGTGATGCAGTTGCTTTCAAATGCCAGAATCTTTCCCTCCATTCTTGCTCTGGTACACCCTAGCTCACAATTTCTCTTTCAGGAAACATGGCACTGCTTTCGATGCCATTGTACAAATCAAAAGTTCAGCATTTAACCATTATGTATTTTCTTTGAAAAAAAGCCATCTATGGATATTTATGTCTCTCTGTGATGTTGTGTGTGTGTGTGTGTGTGTGTGTGTGTGTGTGAGAGAGAGAGAGAGAGAGAGAGAGAGAGAGAGAGATCTTTTCAGTGTTATCATTCCAACATATTTCTGTTCATGATCAGATTTCTGATCAATAGTGCCACAGGACTTCCTGCAGAAGGTTATGTCAGCATTATGCTCCATTTTGAAGAATAGTTCCAGTCTGACTCCCTTCTATAAACACAAACCTCACTCTCCCTGTTAAGTCCAATTTCCCCCTGCCACAAGTGGTGCAGGAAATACAGGAAGAACCTCTTGTTTCTTAGAAGTCTCCCATCCAGACTCACATATTAAAAACTGCTGTAGAGGACATAGTCATTCAAGCAGTGATTCAGAGCTAAGGTAGAAATTGAGCAGGGGTAGCAGCATTTGCCTCTCATGCAGAGGCAAAATTCTCTGGGTTCAGTTTCTGTATTTTAAGAGTTTTCCTGTCTGGAAAAATAGTATGGCAACTTTAGAAAAAAGAGAAGATACTTAAATAATAATAGCAGAACAATAATGCTGCAGCCTCTTCTGGAGTGGGTTTGTATTAATCCTGCTGTCTTGTTTCTGAACATAACATAAGCTCATAGAGGAAGTTTTTTCCTACTACTTGGTTGGATACCAAGATAAATTTCACAAACTAAATTTATATGTGTTGGGATGCTGTTCATGATACATGGCAAAGGTGAGAGAAAAGGTATGGCTATAGAAGTAGTCTTCATTTAGCGACTGCCTCACACAGCAATCATTTGCAGTTACGACAGTGAGGAAAAAATAACACTGCGACCCATCCTCGCATTTACAACCTTTACAGGACTGTACAGCAAAGGAAAGCTGAAGTAAGATCATAAGCACGGTCGCGGTTTCACTTAGCAACTGCTTCGTTTAATGATCAAGTTGCTGGTCCCAATTGTGGTCACTAAACAAGGACTACTTGTGTATTGGGGGAAGGAATCAGGTTGTTCTGTTTTGTTCCTACTGTCGGTTTAGGCCACTCTTTGTAGCTCCAACATGGTTAATAGTTCTTTGTTTGATATATATTCCTGGGAATGTCCTCTTGTTTTCCTTCCAGATCCTAAGCAAAGGGAAAGTGTTCCAATTTGGGAGGCTGCCCCGGCAAGCAGGACAGAATCCAGTGCTTATGTCTCTGCCCATCACTTCAGATCTGATTCCTTCTTTACGGATTGTGGCTTACTACAAAATTGGCAATGACGAAATCATAGCAGACTCTATATGGGTGGATGTGGAAGACACCTGCATGGGAGTGGTAGGTTTTTCTCTTGAGCAGAGCAGCAGAGTAAGGCAGAACTGTGTTTGCCAGAAGGCATGCATAAGGGATAAAAATACAGGTAGTCCTTGCTTACTGACTGCTCATTTAGCAACCATTCAAAGTTATGACAGCGCTGAAAAAGGAGATATACAACCAGTCCTCGAACTTGTGGCCTTTGCAGCCTCCCCGCAGTCACGTGATCATGATTCAGGCGCTTGGCAACTGGCACACATTTATGATGGTCCCAGTGTCCCGCAGTCACATGATCACCATTTGTGACCTTCACAGCTGGTTTCCAACAAGCAAAGTCAATGGGGAAGCCAGCAGGAAGTCACAAGTTGCAGTCACATGATGTCACACTTAACTACCGTGGGTGTTTCGCTTAATGACCACAGACAGAACTGATGTCATAAGTTGGGTGCAGTCACATGATGTTTCACTTTACAACCACATCCCCTAGCAACAGAATTGCCAGTCTCAATTGTGGTCGGTAAGTGAGGACTACCTATAAATATTAAATCTTATTTGAACTAATTGCAGTATTTCTGATAAAAATCAGCATCTACCCATTTTCTTCATTTACTGGGTTTAAAATCAAGGGCAGATTGTTCTAGTTATCAGAAGAGTGCTGTGCTGATGTGATTTCTCCAAAGAGGACCCACAAGAGAAGCAGAATCTGTAATTCCTATGAGATCATCATCAGCACCCAGCATAAATTTCCTGTGGGCACATTTATTCTTAAAATTATTCCATTTTCTTATCCACACTAATTTTTTTGTGAGTGATGCATTCAAACTGAAAAGGGTATATCCCCATGATAGGTATAAGCAAGTTTATCAACTGTGTCCTCCTACGGAATCTTTAATTATGCTCTGAGATGTGTATATGTGAATCTGTAATAGGGGAGATGCAGCTAATAGTGACTTGTGCCCAGGAATCCAATGATTCTTTGGGATAAGTCTTGTAAATAAAGTTTTACAAAGTGGATGTGTGTGTGGAATAGTTGGAGCTAAATATGATTTTAGCGTCACATCTTTGGGAGCCCCACAAGATTCTATTGGCATTATTTTACTTTTCTAGATTTGCTGCTTTGCTTCCCAAAGGAAAACGACTTTCTGAAAACCTGAAGTGTTATTATATTGAAGAAAAAGCATAAAAGCTACCAATCATTCTGATGCTATGAGTTTGTTCAGGTGTGAATTTTAACCATGGCGAGCTTGTCACTTGACTCTGGAAAAGTCACAGAATGTACTAGGTGACTTATCCATGTAGCTTATAGTCTCTTAGGTGAGCTTTATCTCTAACTGATAACATAGTTTTCAAGTTCTACTAAGTACATACGCCAAGACATGAAAAGTGAGGGAGATGTTGCTAATACTTTATTTATTCCTTACAAAAGCTCAATGTCACAGGTGCATCACAAGATGACAACCTTATACAGAGGCCACGCACCCACATGAACCTCAAAGTGACTGGCAATCCAGGGGCCAAGGTGGGCCTAGTGGCTGTGGATAAAGCTGTATATGTTTTGAAAGAAAAGACCAAACTGTCCCAAGCGAAGGTGAGCTCAGTTTGTGGATCTCCCCAGTTGTTATGCTGTATTTCTGTAGGACTATTTGAGTACTCTGAGTTGCGTGTGTCCACAAAAACAGTTTGACATTAAACCATGTGTTTGGCTTGCACATGGTAGGGCTTTAATTAGCCTACCTTGGTTGGGCTACCCACAAATGAAGGTAAAAACCAATTTCCTTATGAAGAATAGGACGTTTCCCAGCTTTCCTACCAAGTACATGTCTTTAGATACATTTGGTGCTTCAGAAAAGCATGAGAATTTCTAATTTTATAAAAAATTTTGGTGTGTTATTTTTAATATTCTATATTTGGGCAACATCTCCGTGTCTCAAAGGAAGCCTTTTTTTATCTGTCAACTTCTTGACAGAGTTTATTAATTATACTGATACCTTCTTGAATTTGAAGAAGCTTTCTTGACCTGTAATATCTATTCCAATAGAATTTCTGTTGTTATAATTTATAATCCCAAGCAGTCAAGATAATTTTGACCCACCAGACTTTTCTTTTCCTCTTTGTCTTGAAATCAAAAATGATTTTTAAAAATGTATTGGCAAAGTTTAATGTTCATATAAATTAAATTTGATAACTCTATGGTTGATCTTGACATGATCCAGGACATCATTTAGAATTAAATCCAAAGTGGTCTCCCTTTTGATTAGTTCTTTGACTAGCTTTTTTTGAGCCACAGTAATTTAGGCCATCTAGAAACATCCTTCTTTATTGCAGTGTTTCCTAAACTTTTTTCTCTCAGGACCCCTTCCCAACTTTTAAAAATTATGGAGGACCCCAAAAGAACTTTTGTTTCTATGGCTTATTTTTATTGATATTTACCATATTAAAATTAAAATTGACACATTTGCTGTCACTACTGTTCTTCACAATTGTTTGATGGAATTTTAATGCCATATTATTTTTCAGCATAGGCTGGCAAATGATTTTGATTTTGTGAACCTCCAGGAGTCCTAGGACCACACTTTGAGAAATATTGCTTTATTGTAATTAGATTTTTTTCCTGTGTACATGATAACAATTGAATCAGGCATTGTGTTAACTTTTGACACTTCCCTGATTTTATTCATTGTTTCAACATTTTGGTCAAAGAAATTATCCAAAGTCTCCAGTATCTGGGGCTTGCTATTGTAAGCCTGAGCAATTCCATAGAAATGTATCAGAGATTCCATCCCACTAATTTTTTAAAATTATACCAAGTTTCCATTATGCCCACTGTTTTTTTTTG